GCGTTTTTCTTTATAACGACCGTCGTTTCAGTAGAGGCACCAACGATTCGAAAAGTTTGGAACACTCGAAAGATACGAGATCTGAAATGTCGTCTGTCTGATAGATATTACTATTAGACGAGATATGTAGACGCAGGGAGGCGTCCGACGATGAAGAGAGATACATAGAAGAAACAGAGTGGCAATATCGGTACTTGGGATTAAATTTCAAAATGAACCGTTGCAGATCTTGATAAGTTCTGTCATTATCGATCCGTGACACCTGATCTTTTTGGCTCCACATACTTTGGGTTTTCCACCGATACTTAGACTTTGACGACGTCGAATCGCGGAAAGACCCTCCGTTCACAGTGTAAAAGTTTAATCTGCAGATAATGAACACGTCATGATTCTTATCACAGTTTCTCAGTTTTTGCCGTAGGCATAAAAATGAGATCGGTCGCGGCGATCACTTGCTGCTGTTAAAGAGCGCGTTAAATTCACTCGTTAGGCCGTGATCTCGCATCCTGACCCTGAACAACTGACTGATTCAAAGTGGAGCGTGTCACGCCTCGAGGCGTTTGACTCGATCACACGGTGTCTATGTATATAGGTACCGCGCTTACGTAGGAGGACGGACTTTCAGACGGCTGCCAGACGATACGGCAATGTTTCGAAATCTTTTCATAAACAATCGTATCATCAGCACGCGCGTGTTGCACGCGTTGCACGCGTTGCACGCGTTGCACATGCCGTCGCGTTGTACCAGATCGGCGCCAGCGAGCACCGAACGAAGAAGGGAGACAGACGGTGGTACACACGGGGTACAGTGAAAGGGAACCGACGTCTGTTCCTCGTCGGATTCCGGACCAAAATCACGCGTACATAAGTAGTTTCAAGGCCGACTACTTCGCCTGTGAAGCTACCGCGTTTTGCGTCTGCGGGAGACACGATGAATCATGACTCTTGAGCACAGAGTCATTGATTCCTCGAGCAGGAACTCTCCTGGGGAGAGAATTCGTCGTTGGAAAAAATGTGAAGAGTCAACGACCGAAGATTCGAGTCGAGATATTATTCACGCAGCACCATTTCAATAGAGTATTCTCTTACCTATGGAAAGTGTCTGCGTGCTCGATTTCATCGTTCTCTCATTAATGGCAAGATCCACGTGTCTGCAAGTGTTGTTGTACGAGCACGAGGTAACAGTCGACTTTCCCTGTTGAAAAATGGATAGACTATGATAACCCTGACCGTAGAAAATCGTGCCCGGCCAACATCGTCGCCAAAAGATTCAAGCTCCTCTGCTCTGCATTTGGTCGGATCAGCTAGTAAGTAGTAATTTACTACGAGCTGTTCAAACCTGGCGAGACCATCAAACCAGGGAGATCGCTGCCGATTGCAACTAACGCGTTTGTGTCTCAAGCACTAAAGGAAAGATGATGACCCCCTGTACGCCAAGAGACACGACGAGCATCAGACAACACTCGGCCACATGTTGCAAAACCGGTGAAAACCTATTTGCAAACGCTTAAGGATGTATAGGCTATATACTTAAACAATGCTAACATGTTGAATTTGTTATTATACATTCCTATTACTATTAAAAAGCTACCTGCAAAATTTTAAATCAATTCATGGGTTTTTTGAAAAATTATACTCTCTTAAAATTTGCATGTATTCTTATGCTAATCACTTTTCCCGTAGGTAATTGGAGTGCCTACAACTTCTATTTCAAGCATTCTTCGATATTTTGACAAAAAAAAAATTTTTTATTTTTCCGAGATTTTTTCAAGGGGTACCCCTTCAGATTTTGCGAAATTTTCGTTTTTTGCCAATAACTCTCAAACCGCTGGAGATACGAGAAAATTGCATCAGACCATTTTTGTAGAGGCCGCCGAGATCTACAATTTCCATGTAGCAAATTTTCGCTAGCGTCAATAGTTAACGAGTAATTTGCGAAAAACTGTTTTTTCGTTTTTCGTCAATAACTCGTAAACTATTGATGCTAGCGAAAAACTTTTATACAGAAATTATAGATCTCGTCGTCCTCTACAAGAAAGGTTGAATGCAATTTTCCCGTAGAAGCAACGGTTTAGGAGTTATTGAAGAAAAACGAAATTTTTTGTCAAAAGTTGGCCATTTCGACGCTAGGATGGTCGGATTTTGTCAACATCAATAAAATGCCATATAATCATATGTAACTC